AAATAAATAAATAAATAAATAAATAAATAAATAAATAAATAAATAAATAAATAAATAACATCATCTTCCAGGCATGTGCATGAGTACCAGGTGGCTGCTCTTCCAGTTTCTGGTGTTTGCGCTCCCATTTCGGCATTTGGTGCAGAAAAGTTTTGCCAATACTGCCCTAATCTGAATGAGGAATAAGACTAGATGATTATTGAGGTTCCTTTTAATTTTATTACTGAACAAGGGTTGGAATAAATACATTAAAAGCAAAAGTTAGCTAATCCTGAAATATTGGAAACTTTGGGATTGGTTGAATTAAAAAACAAACTATTGTCTTGTGTTCTGTTTAGCGCAGGGCTGTCAAACTCCTGGCCCACAGGCCTGATGTGTCATGTGCTGGCTCCACTCACACTTGGTTTAGTGAAGGGGAAAATCCCAATGTCATGTGATGCCGCAGTAACAACGTGAGTTTGACACCCCTGTTTAGCTAAATGCAATATTATTAGGAAGAAAATTATACGTAGCTGTGCTTAATTGGAAGTAATAAATTAAGCATCCCTACTGGTCTGATTATATGCTCTTAATAATAGCATAATTCAGTAAAAGATGAAACCATTTAACAAACAACAACTGATCTAGCTCAAAGTTTCAGCATTCTTTTCTTTCACTGTTCTTTGTGATTGATAAAACATGACACAAATATTCATTCAGTGCTGGATTTTCTGGGACGTCTGTGTTTTAGAAGAAAATAGCTGATCATTTAAAGCAATACTTTATAAGGAATTATAAAGCTTCTGAGAACTGTCATGTACAAAAGATAAAATACTTGAATTAGAATTTCCATAAATACTTATGTTTACTAAACTTACTAACTTCCAACAATTACGAAAATCATGGAAGTTATGATATTGGATACAGATGTAGGCACATCTAGACAGCTTAACAGGTTTTTCCCTCATTCTTTTCAATGGCAGCCTGCTAGTCCTGTAAAAATAATGTATACAGTACTGTGGAAGCTTCAATAAGGTGAGCTCTATAGTGCGGAAAGGAGATATATCTTCCAATTACATTTTAAAGCAACTTAAATAAAATATGTAACTCATTTTGCAAAACTCTCATTTCCTTTTTCCATGCCCCTTTTCTCAAGAGAGTCTACTGGTACTTTGTAGGGCATTTCTAAGAATCTAAAAAGAAAATCTGGGGAAAATTGAGCAGAGAAATCTGTTCCTTTCAGTCAGTATGTATCTGTATCTCAAATAAGCCTACTATAAGCAGTAGAACTTTAATTAGTCATAACTAACTTATATCCCAAAGATTCTGAAAGGTCTACTTTAAATTATAAGAGCTAAGACTGTCACTGTAAACAAACTTCCCAGGGAATAAACCCCCATTAATGTAATCATGTTTACTTCTGAATAGACACTGAACAATACTTAGACAAATGCTGACAAGTTCCAAAAATCTTTATAGTTAAGAATACCTCCTGCTCTTCTAATTAGAACCCTACTATATCTGGATTAGAATTTTTTATTTTAATATTGGAAAAGTTAAAGATAATTCAGTTCTCCTACATTTTTCTGTTTAATAAAATAAATTTATATTATTTCATATACATTTTCAAGCATAAAGTAAAAACAATTAATGTTTTGTCAAAGTATTTTATTTCAAGATGCAATAGAAAAACTACGGACAAGATGTCCTATTCTTACCATGACCTGAGGCAAAAACTGAAACAGGACCGGTCTGTACTAGGTAAGAGCTGGCAGTATAGTCCTCATCAGTGTCAGAGTCCTGAACTGGCTGGATAGCACTAGTACTTAGCAACCATCTCTGGTTGTCATGGAGATTTGGAGATGGAGGAGGGGAATGTAAATGTTCAATGACGGATTGACTAGATGAAGAAGATGGCATGGGAGGACCTGAGGAAAAAATATTAAAAAAAAAATAGGATAACACACGGAATAGTTCAGAAATTGTTTACCTTCCGGTAATTATTTTTAAAAATATTTTGATAAATTATAGCTAAGCAAAATTATGATAGCATGTGATGGAAACGTTTAGTTTTCTAAAATTCATTGTGGGAGGGATTATCTTTATTAAATGTTTCATTTCCTAAATAATTAAATGCAGAAATCAGTTGTATCTGTTGCATTTTTTAAAAAAGTTGGTTACATTTGTTGCATTTCATGTTTCCATCATATTTTAATCCAGTTTAAAAATACTAATTTGGGTATGAATCTTAAGACTTGACGGTCTTGTTCTAGATTCATAGGTTAAACAATTATACAACTAATGTTCATTGCCTTCCCTGTGCATGCAGAGAAAGAAATGGCAGAATGGTTATAGCAGGATTCTCAAGTTTCCACCTATCAATTGCATGCAAATAATGTTTTGCACAACACTTTACAGGGGTTCAGGATGCTGCCCATCAAGTGCTGCAGACTTGTAAGCTGAATGAAAATCTTGAAGAAAAAAGAATTGCCAGGTCACCTGACCTGATCTCTGAAAGTATTATCCTCCAGGAATATCTGTTCACTGATATACTCTGTGAGGTGTTATTGGGGTGTCCAGGTTGTGGCAGAAGGAGACAAAGCTTAGGTATGGATAACAAATTGAGGAGCTAAAACTGTCAGAGGGGCTGAAAGATGAGAAGGTGGACCAGGTGTGACTACTTTCATTGCTGAACAAGAAACAAGATCTTTCTGTGACGCAAGGGAAGAAAAAAATGAAGAAAAACTAAAAAAGTGCTTCTTGGGATGGATTTTCTAAAATGATATTAAGCAATGATTTTGAGAAAAAAAATGCTACATATCAACTCAGATAAATCTCTCTTCCTTAAGTTAAAGCCATTATTCCATGTTGTGTACTGCAGAATGATAAAAAATATACTAAGGATCTGTACCCCGCATCCCTTTTTCAGCTAAAGAGTATAATCCTGTTAATTTTCCCAAAGCTAAAGGTACCCAATTTTTTCAACTTTTTTCAACTATTTCCTGATCAGCCTCCCTGCCCTCCTCTGAGCTGTTCTAACTTATCTGAATTATTCTTTGAAACATGCTGGACAGGATTATACCCCATCCTAGAGGTGTGGTTTGTTCAGTGCAAAACAAAATTAATACTTGTGTTTGGAAACTTTATATCTGGGTATATAGCCTTAGAATCAATTTATGAATTTTTACCACTATTATACCAAATCAGATAACTTTTATACCATGCATTTTATTTCTTTTTGTTAAAAGATGAATTTTGTCTCTATTAAATTTTATTTCATTATTTTCAATGTGTTTTTCTAATACATCACTACTGTTGGTATAGTTTCTGTCAAGATATTTTAACCAATTGTTTGCCATCAGCAAACTTGGTAAATATTTCCTTTCCTTATCAAATCAATAGTAAAAATGTGACTGCACAAAGCCTAGAACTGAACATTGTGGCATTCAATGTAATATCAGAGATATAGTCCAGGGTGTTAACTAAGTTAACTATCACAGTCACTTAGCATTCTAGAATATTAACCTTTCTGTTTTATATTTGTTGAGGCTGCCTGATGAATCTTTTCTGAAATTATTTATATTGTTTTGGAGTCAATATTCAGGCTGGGTTATATATAGCACTGAGTCAGTCGGTCAAACTTATGGATTAAACTGTGAAGGATCAAAGATAGGATATAGCAACTATCCTGGCTTTCTTGGACTTCTCTGTTTTCAATACCACAAACCACAATATTTCTTCACTAGCTATGGGGGTTGGGCAGTGGTGGGATTCATTTTTTTTTACTACTGGTTCTGTGGGCGTGGCTTGGTGGGTGTGGCAGGGGAAGGTTACTGCAAAATCCTCTTTTCCTCCTGATCAACTGGGACTCGGAAGGCAGAGAATAAATGGGGGCAGGGCCAGTCAGAAGTAGTATTTACTGGTTCTCCGAACTACTCAAAAATTCCACTACCGGTTCTCCAGAATTGATCAGTACCTGCTGAATACCACCTCTGGGGTTGAAGGGGGAACATTGGTCTGTAGTGGTTCTCCTCCTTCCTCTGTGGCAGATTGAACTGTTACTAGGGGGGTGAGGGAAAGTTGAGTCCTGTACACCTGCTTTCTGATGCCTAATGTTTTGATCCTTTGCCCTCCTTAACATCTCCTGCGAGAGGTCATCTGATGGCCCACGATGCAGTATGATCACTATGCTAATGATAGTCACCTATCTCTTTGATACTGCCAATCAAGGGGCACTGTCCCAAGTATTGGTTGAATGCCTGAGGTTGTAAAGGCTTAGATGTGGAAAAAATAGTTTCAATTCAATCCTAGCAAAATGTAGTTGCTCTGGGGCTCTGGTCCCCCAAGTTCTAGAGAGCTAATGAGCAATTTGGTGGCCTTCTTGGATTCACAACTCCTGCTTAAGGAACAGGTGGCAGTTATGGCTAGGGGAACCTTTGGTGCAGATTCATCTGCTGCATTAATTATACCCATTCCTGAATTGGAAGATCTGGATCATAGTCACTCATAGTTTCTGGCTGAATTACTGCATTGGGTCTACATGTGCCTACTCTTGAAGACCATGCAGAAATTATAACTGGGGCAGAATACTGAATTGCATGACGTTTTAGTTGCTTCACAGTTTGTCCCTGTTATACTGCTGATGCATAAATTGCACTGATTTCCAGTTTCTTTCCAGGTCAATGTCGTAAGTCCAGGTTATTTGCAGGATTGCCTCTCATGGACAGTATCTTCTCATTCCACCAGATCAGATAAATTGGGTATACTCCAGGTCCCTTTCTAAATTTTGCCATTAATCAGAATATAGCATAAAACCTTCTCACTAGTGGCCCATGCCCTTTAGAGCACCATGCCCTGTAAGGCCCCTACTCTTTTAGCTTTCTGGAAAACTTTGAAGACACACTAAGATACATGTACATATGACATATTTAAGTATGCTTCATGCACACATTTATGGAAAGAGCAAATCTCCAAGATTGTGTTTAAAATTGGCAATCTTTGATTGATAGGGTAAGGAGAAACTGAGTATTGCATAGGACTTTTTCTGTGTTTGTATGCACAGAAGACATTTACCCACACACGTACCCTTCTTCCACCTACTCTTACTTTTGGAGGAAAAATCATTTTAAATTCAAGCTTATCTTCCTTTCAGGTAAATATGATACTCTTCTACCATGAAACTGCCAGGTTGCTGGCATTCTTTCTTTTATAACTTTGTAATGAGTGGCTTTTAATTATAAATCCATTTTATATTATAGACCTCCTATATGCTATCCAACCCATGTAACGTGGCATTGGCATTTATCTCTCTGCTGGATACAAGAGCCTTCTGTAGTCAACCTGTGGTGACAGTTATATGTTAATTAAAAGCCTACATGCAAATAGCATTAGTGAAAAGTGTTGTGGCAGATCGCACACAAAGCACTATTATTTGTAACTGCACAGACCTTGTTATCAACTGCTTAATACTGAGCAAACATTGTATTTAGCGTGAATCTCTCCCTCTGGGAAATATGCTAACAAACACTTATTACCTAAGTTAGGATAGTTAGAGATCATTCAATAGTTATTACACAGTTGTTACAATGGAGACTTCTTCAGACAAATGTTAATTATAGGATATGTACTCTGTCATTTTTTAGCATAATGGTTAATGACCAATTAAACCTTGTCAAAAATATACTTAAAAGATTTCAGGTACCTCTGAATTCCAATGAATACAGCTATGACCTTATGTTCGTAGCTTTATCTAAAATACAGATAGCTGTATTTTATATCTAAGATACTGGGAAAATTGCATGTTTACCAATAAGTGTGCAAAGCTATCAATCTTGTGAAAAGAGATAATATGGTCAATATTTGAACTCACGGCAATAGTATTGCTTCCTATGGAACTATGTTCCAAAACCAATACCAGAAAATAAGATACCTTTGCTGCAACTGCATCCTTAGTTCATCCTGAACATGTATACTGAGTTTCTGATTCTTTTATATGCCATTACCAATCCCATAAGAAGATTCTACCTTTCTTTTGCAGTCAGTTCAGTTTCCTTTGAGCATTCTTCCTAAACTCAGATTGTGACTGTGATAGATACTACCAGACCCCATGTATTGAATCTTGTTATTTATTTTTAGTTTTAAACCTTTTCATTTTTTATGTTTTTGTGATTCTTTACTTGGTTTAAAATATATCTAGAAAAAGAACAAGTTTCTATAGTTCCCTGTTACATTAATCAATTACATTCCCTTCAATTGTGCAATGTGTAAATTTCTTAATACATCACTGAATATTTACTGAAAAGGGAAAAAGAAACCAAAAAAGCTAAAGCAATTGTTGACTGAAGCTAACTAAAATAGCCAACTGGAACTTCAAAATTATTTTCTTCACAAATGTTTAAGCCAATTATTTGATCAAACTAAATTAATTAAATGTCATTTTAACAGATTGATGTTTATTTCAAAGTGGAAGGAACAATCAATTCCGTGAACCTTGTTTTGCTAAATATTCTAAAAGAATATATACGTGAAAGGTAAAAAGGAAGTGAACCTGCTGGAGTGACTAATGCTTATTCGTTAGACTAACTTGACATCCCAATTGCTGTTTATAAAAAAGCATAACGAATTGGATAAAAAAGGGTAACAAATTGTTCCGTTTCTAAGAGAAAACCCGCAGAGTTAGACAGAATGGAATAAGAATCTTAAGTTAAACACAAGGAGATGTGTTGGGTTTGCATTTTATTTAATATTTCATGATGAATGGCATGGGCCAGAAAAAAAATCTTCATAATGTCTTTGTTGACGTTAAGCAATTAAGTATAGAACCAGACAACCTGTGCCCTGTCAGGTCATCATTTCCTTACCTAAAGAGAGAAACAGAATGACTTTGGGTGGACAAAGAGGCAATGGGTCTGGGAACAAATTCCGCTTC